GATGGTCGCAGGCCCCCGCATCCTGTAGTGGGGACAGCTGCTTTTGGCAACCCACTGAGCAGAGGGGCATGCACGGGATGCTCCCGCTCCCTTCCGCTGTGACTCGGGCAGCAGGGGCTTGTTTGGCTGGGCCAGGGCAGTGGGGCTCCCCATGCCAGGCTCTATTTTTAGGAAGCCTGGAGAGGTAGGTGCAGCTGTCACAGCAAGAAGTTTCTAGTGCTCTTTGCGGTTTCACAGCTTTGGTAAGGTGCAGCATCAGCAGTTTAGAGGTCAGGTGCTCTTCGTGGCTCAGCACAGCAAGGCTGTCATTGCCACCCAGATTTGGTACAAGAGCTATGTGCTCTTCAGGGTCCCCCATCACCCACTGGCTCACTGGGGCTTGTTTCTCTGACTTTCCCTGCTTTCTACCTACCTTGGTCCCCTTGGGACGGCTGGCTCAGGGTGCACCCGTGGGTGGTACAGCAGCTGGAAAGTGAGGAAGATGGAGTAAAGGGGGCACAGGAGATGATGGCCCTTGGATTAGGGTGGCTCAGAGGGACAGCAGCACTCCAGTGCCATCCCTTGCAGCTCTTTCCCATTGCTTGTTGCTGCTCTACAGGGTGGCAGAGAAAGGGCAGGTGTCTCCTCACGTCTCTGGACAAAACGCAGAGGAGATGGTGCTCCACATCATGCTCTGCTCTATCTGCCGGGCAGCAGGAGCCTTGGGCAGCTCATGTTCATGTCAGCTGGAGACAGGGACTTCTGCTGACCTCCACACAGGTGTCGCCATGGCTGAGCACCACGGTAAGCAATGGGGCTGCAACCTGCCACTACTGCCATAGTTGCCACAACCAACACCTTCTGCTGCTTTCTTCCACAAAGAGACATGACCATCACAAGTGTTGATGCCTCCTCCTGTCCCTGAGGCTGATTCTTGCTGCTCTGGACTCCAGGTGCTTTCTCTCATTCATACCAAAGTAACAAGTGAACAGAAACCGCAATGCAACCTTTCCTTCTCCGGATGCTGGGGATGTTTTCTGTGGTGTTCTGGCTACATCTGTTCCCTCTTACTCTCTGATGGTGGAGTTGTCCTGGAGACACAAGAGCCCAGAGGATGCAGGAGAGGGAAAAACCTAAAGAAGCAACAAAGCAAATGATGGAAAAGTTCAAAGTTCCCTCCTGTTCATGGCCCTGTACTGAAGGGACTAATTCAGGTTTCTCTCATAGATTCCCTTCTGCATCCCACCCACGCCATCACAGCCAAACTCCTTTTGTGACTCAGAATAAAATCTTCTTTTTGAATGCATTGTTCTTAGTACCAAACAGCTCCCAGCTTTTGTCAACTGTCAAGAGCATGTGGGGTGAGCAGCATGTTTTAAAGAACTAGTCATAAAGCCACAGTGGGCACTCAAAAAAGGAAAAAAAATCACTCTCTTCTCATCACCTTTCACCTTGCTGCCTTCAGAAATGCTCCCAGCCTTTGACAGATCACTGGGGCAAGCAACCGGATATTTTCTCGGTAAACAAAACTCTGAGCGCCGAGTACAAGTGGAGACAATTTGCTGATCAGTGGAAATACCACAACTAAGTCAATAGGAATGCAAGCGATGGATCACATTTTCCCATTGTCTCAGCCGCGGGTTATCTGGTTGGAGGAACCTTGCCAGTTTGGGTTCGCAAGCAGATGGTTATGGCTATGTTCAGCGGGTTTGGGGGGTGAAAGAAAACCCCCATTCGTTTCTTGGTGGCAGGCTCATCACCAGGTGAAGGTGTGAGCTCACCTTCCCTGGGGAAATCCCATGTGGGCAGACTCCTCCCTCAGACTTTGGGTTCTCTCCCGATTGCCTGCCATCCCTTTGGACCATGCGTCCCTTTCCCTAAAGCTGTGTCCCCTCTCTACTACATTCCCCCATGTTCCTTCGGCAGCCAAATGTCCAAGGATGCACAACCATGATGCTACTTGATCCTGACGTGGGATAATGTGAGTTTTAAGAATTTTGAGTCTCTTCTCCCAGCTTTACCATCCATGTGAAGCACAGAGGTGGCAAGAAAGCATGTCCTCAGAGGACCTGGTGATGCAAGGTGGAGGAGTTGGCTCCTATGGGCTCGCTCCTTGCCAGCTGGGGCAGTGAGGGACTGGATTGCCAACGTGGAGCAATGGCTTCCTGAAAAAGAGCTGCCAGCCTGCCCTCCCCGCTGACGAACCTCTGCCAGGATCCCTGCTGTCATATTTTCCACCCAGTTTTGCCCGTCAGGGTGCCGGTGACTAGTGACTCTCGGTTTCCTGGCTTGCAACGAAAGCTAGCCAGCCCTCCAGCAATGTTTTGTGTTGGGTACGCAAAACCAGAGCCTTTACCTATCCTCCTGGCTGAACCCAGTGGGTCCTCCAAGGCTGCTGCTAGCTCTGGCATTTCCAGAAAAGTGACTGCAATGGGACTGGCAATGTGCTTGAGGTTTCTGATGTTACCTACAGGTTCTCCTCTTTTTGGTGAAAGAGCGGCTGGTGGCTATCCAGAAACAGCTTTGAAAAGGTTTAATCTGCTGGGTACAGTCATGGCTCGGGAACAGCTGTGCAAAACCTCGCTTGCTGCTCTCTGCAATGCTTATTGCTGTGGTTTCACACATTATCGGCTGCCTCTCAGTTCCGACACTCGGGATTCGGGGAAAGTATTAAAAGTGATGACTTGCCATGTTGTTCTGTTTCTCATTTAAGACTTCCCCCAAAAGTGCATGTTAAATTCAGAAACTCTGAAGAGCCCTAGAAAATGCCGTTGAACACCACAGGACTGAGGAATAGGGTGAGGACTTTGGGGAGCAGGCGCTGCTCCCCACCGTGGCCTCATGGCTCTCAACTGTGCCAGGTGTCATTGGGGATGTACACCACGAAATGGCTTTTTGCTCGTGACAAGCTCGCCGTGGCAAGGATGATGTGTAGGAGCTCAGTGTCATACCAGACCCCTGTGAGGAGGCCAGAGCTGGTCTTTCCAAAGATAATGCCAAATTTATGATAAAAACGAATAAAAACCGTGGCTTGGCAGTGCCCCAGGCTGTGTGGGGGCTTGGTCCCATACACAGCAGGGCTGCAAGCCTAAGGGATCGGGTCCAAAGCCCAGTGATAATGAGGGGACCTGCTTTTGTGACCCAACACGGTGCATCCCCAGCACTGTTTGGGTTACCTCACTGTAGGATGCTCTCGTAGGGTTAAGAAGCCCCACTGAGCTGGACAGCAAAGCAGCCCTTGAAAGGTGAAGGCACATGGGCAGCTCCCAGGGCACAGGCACCCAGGGACAGAGACCCCAGGGACTGCTCTTGTCTCTAGAAGGCAAAAAGGACACTGGAGGGCTGTGCCCAGAGCTGGAAGCCCCATCTCAAAGCTCTCCTCATCACACAGGGGTGACAGTGAAAGGTTACATGGCTCCAAAGCACCAAGCCAGGGCCTCTGCCCCAGGCTGTCCTCTCCAGCTGCTGCATTGCTGCCCATGAAGACCCCAGTGCCATCCCACGCTTGTGATTTGGATGTTATATTTAGGAACACAGTGACCTGCCGAGGTCAAACTCTGACTTGGTTGCAGAGATGTTTGTGCTTCGTTACCAGCTTTTGCATTTGCAGCTCACAGCACCCTAACCACACAGGACAAGATGCAAGAGAGTGAGTAGATAGCAAAAGTGAACACTGCACTCCATCCTGCAATGTTCTGTGCTGCCCTGACACGGTGCTGCGTACTCTTCTCTCGCAGGGCTGCCAGCAAGCATCACTCTGCTCAGCACCCTGCTGCTTCTGGCAGGATCCGACCTTTTGTTTGCTGTATGCTCATCTGATAAGAACATTTAGTATGTTACTTTCAAAACAACATTACAAGATGGCTTGATGACTGCCTTCAAATCCCAACCCTCCTCCTCTGTGCCCCAACAAAAACTAACATTTATCTTCTTTACATGGAGAAAAGGAGGTCTGCTCCTTGTTGTAGGCAGTGAGGATCTCTCTGCATTTACCTTAAATTATGGTATTGTGGTACATGGCCACATGAGTGTTGGATGCCTGAAGAGCTCTGAGTTGGGGCAGGGAGGGCTCAGCAGCAGGACCTCAGCAGAACCTGCTGCTGGCTCGAGAGGTGTGGGGACAGAATGGGGAGACAGGTTGCCCAAAGTTGTATGGCAGTGACGCTGGGAGGTCAGCAGCTGTCAGGAGTGCCTAGCATCCCCAGTAGCCTTTTTCATGCTCAGATATATAGATATAGCAGCATTGGTAAGTGGGGACAGGGTCTGAGCATGCTTCTTCCCTCAGGTGCAGGGTGAGCACCTTACTGGTGTACCAACAAAGCTGCTTAAAACTTGTCTCTCCACGCTGATGGCAAATCACCAAGACCCAAAATCCTGCTGTCTGTTGAGGAGTGTGAAAGCTGTGCCCACACTGGGGTCCCAGTGCCTGTAGAGATGGTCAAAAGGATCATCCAGCCTGCCCAGACAGAGACTTCACTGGAGAGCACGAGGGAAGGCAAAAAAACCAGTACAACCTATCTGCCTCAGCCAAATGTCTTAACTGCAAAATTATCCTTCTCATGAAGGAAACAGAGGGCAAAAAGCCTTTCTTCTCCTTCTGAGAAGCGAGTGACTTTCTGAGTGCTTCCTAACCCCTGGAAGCCTGCATTGCAGATCAGTTTGTCTTCATTTCTTTGGAGATTACTTGCCATGAAACATTCATTCACAGCAGGGAAAAAAGCACTGAGGCAGAGTCTTGAGTGTTTCAAGGGCAAATATGAATATATGGAAGAAGAACTTCTCTCTGCTTCTGGTAGAACGGTAGGAAAAAAGCATGGAAGTGCACCAGAGAAGAAAGTCTAAGCAACCTTTTTTTTGTTGTGGGAGATGGTAGTGAACAAACCTACCCACTACGAAGAGTTTTTTCCAGGAAGCGTAGGTTGCTGCAACATGTATCCCTTGAGCAGCGGATGCTCACACAACAGTTCTGATGCTACTTGCAAGCAGCGCACTTGAAGAAGCCCCAGCAACGTGCACGGAGAATGAACGAAACCTACAGCCCCGCGACACCCCGACCCACCAGCAGCACCATGAAAATGTTCATGGGCTTCCTCGCTGTATTTATTGTCGCACAGATGATTGGGACCGTACTCTTCTGTTTGTATCTTCACATGAAGATGGATAAGGTAAGTGGAGAAGTAAGATTGTCTCTGCTAGATTGCCAGCACAATTTGCCTTCAGCAATCACAAGATGTGCTCGCCAAAAGGATGGACGTGGTAGAAGATGATACCGGCCGCTGGATAGACAGAGTGGCATTTCTTACACCCATGTTCTTATTTCTGCTTTAATTTGCCACTAAGATGTACACTGAGGAAGAGATCTGTTCTTTTCATTAACAAAATGAGAATGGCTCAATCAAGAAGAGCCAATAGCAAACCTGGCAGCCAATGGCCAGTCTGAGGAGAAGACTGTGTGGCTTGAAAACACAAGTGGCTATTCTAGTCTCGTTGGTGGTTTTGGTGGTGCTGTAGCACTTAGTAGCACTGTGACAGTAATGACAAGGATGGAGGGGGGCAGAAATTATTTACTTCACTGTTTGCATGTATGAATTTTACCAACATCTCACTTCAGATGCTTTCTTTCTGCTTTGGGAAGAAAAGAGCAGATCCAAGTACTTCATCCTTTTTTTTGACAAGACACAGTATCAGTGATCCTGCCCTATGCTTGGGTCAGTACTTACCAAAAACTTAAAAACTGAAAAGCTTTTTTTTGAGGTTCCCATGACTGCAGACACACCTCATCATGCTTAAAATCACCGATCTCAAGCTACTTTCTTCCAAACCAGAAAAGACTACCAGCTAAAGAAATGAAACCTATCTAAAACCCCAAACAAGTTCTCCTTAGCAGATACAATGATAAGATCATCACTACTGATTTCTAAAGATGTTGTCTCAACCTACCTCAACCTGTCTCAACTGAAATTTAAGTGGGTGTCTGCTGATCCTCAAGGGTGGAGAGCAATCTGAGCTAAAGGGGCTTGAAAGTTGAGGGGATGGAAGGAGATTTTGCTGCACGGGGGTGAAGGGATGAGTGGAGTGAAATGTGACGGCACTGGGCTGTGACAGAGGAGCAGAGGTAGCCAAAGTGCAGTCACACATGACAGGAGGATTTTGGCTGCCTTCAGAGCTCACAGTGGGACTTTAACCTGACCCTAAGCATCCCAGTGCTGCCTGGATCATGTCTTTCTGCACTTCTCTTTACTGTTTACCTAATTGTTGGATTTAAAAAAAAAACAACCAGGTATCATTTTAAAAATCAGTGTTTTTATATATATATTGTTTTTTGTGACTTTCTGATTTTTTAAAAATCTGGTGCTCTTGGCAGAATTCAGTCCCAACCCGCCAAGTAATTTTGGTGTCTTGACATCTCTTTTAGTCAATAAGCTAGCTGAAAAAAATGAAAAGCCACCCTGCATGGGCAAGGTAGTGCAGGCCTGAGCAAGCATCCCATCTGTGTGGCAGGACCCCGGGGCAGCAGCAGCAGCAGTGACCCCCCAGCCACTCACTGAGATTTCTGTGCTGCAGCCTGTAAATGGAAAAGGCCAAGTGAGAAATTTAAATTAATTATTGAGGTGATAGAAAATAGGAAGGGATCCTAAGCAATCCTCCTTTCATCCCATGTTGCCAACCAGGGTCAGCTCCATGGGTGCAGATGCTGAGCTGGGTGGCTGGTGGGAGCGCTCGGTACCCGTAGCAAGTCTGCCCTGCTGATCTCGATGCAGAACAACTGACCCTGAGCTTTCCCAGCTGGAATTTATCACTGGCAGGAATCCTCCATGGCTCCACTGCTGACCATCACAGGTTTCCCCGTTGCATCCCATTTACCCTTTTTTCTCTCCTCCGCCGGCAGATGGAAGAGGTGCTGAGCTTAAATGAAGATTATATCTTCCTGAGGAAAATACAGAAATGTCAGATGGCAGAAGGTCAGAAGTCAACATTATTGGACTGTGAAAAGATTTTAAAGGGCTTCCAGGACCTCCAGTGCAAGGTACAGTGCTGTTCAGTGGATAAAGACCCTGCTTAAGATGGAGGGGGGTGCTCCCAGGCACACACAGCTTCACCCGAAGTATTTTTTTAAAACCATGGGTGCCCTTTACCTTGGGGTTGCATTACATATACTGCTTTTTTATCCTATATTCTTTTTACACTATATTGATATTATTGAAAAATCTCCATTTTTTTTTCTCAAAATGGTCTTAGTGAGAGCACAACCAGCTGCGGTGTGCTGAGGGATGCTCGGGGCTTGCAATGGGAGGGATGGAGCTGCAGCCACCTTGGCGCTGTATTCTGATTCTGGCCTGGAAAACATTTATTTCTGCTGTCTGTCACCTTGCTCTGATCCTGTGCTGCGTACCTGTGAGGATGCTCATGGCCACCTGCCACTGGGAGCACTTTTACACCCACTTTGCCCAGGTGCCAATGATGGTGCAAGGCTTGAGACAGGCAGCCCAGCTCCAGCAGCTAGTGAGAAGGAGGCACTCAGGAATGGCACCTCCAGCCAGCGCAGCATCTCCTCACGTCTGGGTGCAAAAAAGCCAACCTACACTGCAATGTCCTCCTGGATAGCCAGCAATGCGGTGCTCTCTGACTACTCAGTCCTTGAATTGGTTGTTTAGGAGGGTCTGTGCTGGCTTGAGCAGGCAGGAGAGGGACATTTCTGCCTCATTGTCAGTGCTCAATGACATCGAATGCCTCAGCTAAACCTCCAGGTTTGCATCAGTACCCAACAGACAACAGTAAATTGTGTCTGAAATGGGCCCTGCTCAGCAGTCCTGAAAAAGTCCCTTTGTAGGGACAAGGTTATGTCTGGCTTGCTGGGCATCATCTACAGCATGGCTCTCTGACATGTTTTTAAAAGAAAAGGAGATGTTTGTTTGTTTGTTTGTTTGTTTGTTTTCAAATAAACTTTCCCCATGACATCATTTTAAATTGCATGAAACCCAAGATCATAAACCCTACAAACCCCATGCTGCAAACAGTCAGTCCAGAGCTGTATGTGGTGCTGGGGAAGGTGCTGGAGGGGTTCTGCAGTTTGGGGTACCTTCTGCTGAGAGCTGACAGGGCTGTTGGGGACAAACAGCACCAACCTGAGCACTGACCAGAGCATCCTTTATGCAGAAGCTTTTAAAATCATTGTTGTACATGTTTAAAAAAATAGATATATTTGCTGTTGTTTCAGGGTGAGGGAGTCAAGAAGGAGCAGCCCAAGTTCGAAATGCAGAGAGGTGAGTCTCCAATGTACCGTGGCTTGCCAGAGGCAGGAGGAGCGGCTTAACCTGGGAAGGGTTTTCCTCCACCATACAATGCCCCGCTGGAGCCCCAGGGCACGGCATGGAGGCAGGGGATGGCATCCGGGCTTGGAGCATCCCCATGGGGGTAGGACTGTGAATGGCGTGGGGCTGGGAGATGGGGCACTGGGCATGCTGTTTCACCAAGGCAGACGGCTCTGGGTGCCACATTACATGAAGTCAATGAAAATTAATCCAAAATTAAATCCATGGACTTTTCACATTGCAGGCCATGAGCATCCCCATTTGAAACACAAGAATGAGTCGTTGGTAGAAGGTAAGGAGTGGGCATATCCAGGTCCTATTCCCACAGTGGGCAAGCTGACATGGTCTCCTTCACGGGCTTTATCCCCCAGGGGCTCCACCTTGAAGCTTAAGAACTGGGGGGAAACTTTGGAGACCATGTCTCTGGATTTGGCCCATAGAGAAATACCAAGGCTGAGAGGTGCCACAGTCCCAGTGAAGGAGCTGTGCTGCTCAGGGGGACAGTGAGTGCCAAGGTATCGATAACACTGGCCTTTCCAAATTGCAGCAGAGAAGAGGCAGCCAATTGCAGCCCACCTGGCAGGTCAGAAGAGCAACAAGGCAGTCTCAGGTAAGACAGACCCGGTCAGCACTGCCTTGGTCAGTGTGCATCCCCCACCAGACCCTCCCATCCTGCCCCACAGCTCTGGGAGGGCAGAGAGAGGGACAATACATCTCCAGCACAAGAGTCTGTCCCCGAAGCACAGCAAACCTCCCTGTGGTCACATCACCACGTGCACCTGTGCCACCAGGCAGGCTATACTGGCCATACTGTATCTGCTGATCGAATCATCTTCTCACACGTAGTGATCCTGGTAACAATACAGGCTGGCTGATGACTTTATAGTTGCAACATAGCTCCAAACTGATTTTGACAAGTTGCACTTATTCACAGCTGTGGTTGTGTTAGGTTTGAGAAATGTGTGTGAGTCCTACCTCCGCTTGCATTTGCACATCCCTCTACAGTTGGTCTCACAGCTCTATCCCACAGCATAGCCTTAGCTAAGGGACATCTTGCAAGAGCAAGGATAACCAAAGCAAGTAAGAGCTTGCAAGGTCAGTCTCTCAATCTGGCAAGGATTTTGCAGTCTGAGCACGTTTGATTTAATTCTGGAGTAACTGCCAGTAATCAGCAGCTGCTCTTTCCATCTCTGACGCAGCATTTCACCCAGAACTCAGTCTACCTGTGGAAAGCTTAGTGTTAGATAAGATCAAAGAAGCGAGAAGCTCGCTGCATTTTAAAACTCCCTGCTTAAGCATTTGTTGAGCCTATAAAGCAGGTTGAAATTCTCCAGAGCACAGCAGCTGCCTGGAGCTCGGTTCTTTGTCTCAGTGGATGAGCACAGATGAAAAGTCCCCATGGGATGCACAGGTATTGACCATGAGCTGTGTGGCTCCCCTGGGACCACTTGTACCACTCTGCTGAGAGGACTGGGATGCTGGGCTGAGCCAGTCAAACCCATTATGCCCCATGGAGCTGGGCTGCTCACTCCTGATGCTCTCACAAGTGTCTCTGTAGGCTGGAGAAGCCAGAGGTTCTAGCTGAGCTCAGTCTCTATGGCCATGGTTTCCTGGTCTCTATATTGACTTAACTGTACTCACTCCAGTGAGAGTACATGTTCATGAGCTACCTTGATGACACCAATAACACCCCAAAAGCTGTGCCAACAGCAGATCTGCATGAGCAATGGTCCCAGCAGCAGGAGGAAGCTCATGCCATGAAAAACTCTGCTAGCTCTGCACCCTGCCAGAGACCAAAACTGTGGTACAATCATTTTTGTGACTCCTTAGAAAGTCTCACCTTCTCTGGAGGCCAAGTGGAGGAGGGACTTTGGGGGAAAGGCAGTATCCAGTTTTGAAAAACTATGTGCCCTAGGATGAGTGTCTCTGAAGACAGGAGCTGCTGTTTTGGCAGTGCTTTGAGGATTCAGAGGCTGTGCCACCAAAAGCTGTGGAGATAGCAACCCTACAGGGGTGGACATGGGGCTGTGTGGTCCATGGTGGTAACTGTGTGCAATCCTCCACCCTAAGCGTTTCCACTTGGTTGGATGAAGGAAGCATAATGCTCCTCCTCTCAATCATCAATTCAGGGGTGTCAAGTCCAGTGACCAGAAACATGGGTCAAACATAGCCTCAGGGAACCTGCTCCCCTGGGCTGGGGAGGGTGCCCTGTGGTGGGCAGGACCCACCCCCACAGCCCACAGCAGATGAAGGCTGTGATGCCAAATGTCTGTGGTGTGTACCCCCAAAATCAGCCTGCCAAACTGGATGTCTCCTTCTCCCAGCTCATCTGCCATGCTTTCCCCCTGCAGTGCTAGAGTGGAAGACAACCATGTATGGTCCTATGAACAGCAACTTGATATCCTACCAGGAGGGGAAACTGAAGGTGAAGGAAGCAGGGCTCTACTACATCTACTCCCAAGTCAGCTTCTGCACCAAGGCAGCAACTTCAGCACCCTTCACCCTCTATATTTATTTGTATCTCCCCATGGAAGAGGACCGGCTTTTGCTGAAGGGACTAGACACACACAGCACCTCCATGTCTCTTTGTGACCTCCAGTCCATCCGGGAGGGAGGCGTCTTCAAGCTCCGGGAAGGTGACATGGTCTTTGTCAACGTGACAGACTCAACACGAGTGAACTACAACCATGGCAGCACCTACTTCGGCATCTTCAAGCTGTAGTGAGGAGGGAGCTGCCCTGGACTGGGGGTCCAGCCTGACTTTGTTGAGCAAAGTGGCTTTCCCTGTTTCACATATTTATGGTTCTCTGCCTCTCCTCTTTGGTTTTCTTGTTTCTTAATTTGTATATTTTGTTATTTATTAATAATGGTCAAGGGGCCCTGAGAACACAAATGGAACAAAGTTTTAAGGTGGTGTTGCTTGCACTTTTCTTTTTCCTTTCATTGCCAACAGGTTGGTACATGCTGGTGTTGTGTGTCTGGGTCCACCATGCCGGCGTGCCTGGCAGGGTGGATGTCCCCGTTATGTCACAAGAGCTTTGTTTAGCAAACTCTACCATCAACGTTTCTTTCCTAACAACGTAGGATGGTTCAGGGCACTCCAGACAAGCTAGGTTCACACATATCTCCCGTACCAATCTGCTTACAAAACACCAATGGAAAAAAAACCACTAAAAGGCTTAGGAACGTCTCCTCTAAAGGAATCAATCAGACAAGCACTGTACTTACGTGCTAGCTGCTGGTGATGCACCTTTGCCACCCTAACTGTCTGCTTTATCTTGAGAACCCCCTTTTTTCCACCCATGCCAATCTACGAAACTCAGACAGCCTTCTTGCCTAGGGTGACTCTGCCTTGGCCAGGTTCACGCTCGGTGACAATTGTTCTGCATCAGAAGGGTGGTCGGTGGCTGAGAGGGAACTGCCCATTTCAAGCCAGAGTGCAGGTAAGCCACCAGCGGTGCTCTGCTCTCGGTGACCCGAATCTTGCTAGACTGTCCTCCTCCCACCTCTGCAGGTGGAGGACCCTCTGCCTGTGGGCTGCTTTACTCCCCTGTGGAAGGGGCATTGGCCACCATCATCAAACTTGGACCTGCCTCCTCTCCTGAGACCTCTGCTACCCTAGGAGGAGGACCAGGAGAGCATGGGGGTGGCAGGACCAACTGCTTCATCCCAAGCCCTCCAAGGTGCATGTGCGGAGCATCTTCTGGCTGTCCTCAGTGAGGATGTGCCCACAGTGGTATTTTCCCTGGAGCTCCAGGAGAGCAGGACTGTGCAGACAGACAGGACCCTGTCTTGGGCAGGGGATACTTAGGCAACACGGCACACTGTGACCCTTTTCTCCAGCTTGGCCCGCAAGGAAGGTGAGCTGAGCAGCAGCAAGGCACATGGATGTTGATGGAGCATTTCTTAGAGGCGCCTGAAGATGTCAAAAGTGACAAGGCTGGAGCATTTGGTTATACAGGTTGCACTCAACAGAGTGTAAGTTTGGAAAAGCTCCTGGAAGCCAACAGATTTGTAAGTGGAAGAGTTTTCAGATCTGGGAAGTCCTCAGGGTTTGCTTGACTGGAGTCTGCAGGTCTGGTCCTAACACGGTGCTCAAGTGCCACCACTGGTGGGACAGACTGGACAGTCTTTGCACAGATCATTGCAGGGCTGGGTGCCTGGTGTGGTCCCCTCCCAAAGTCAGTAGGTGTAAGCTCAATGCCACTCTGGTTTTACTATAATTTAATATGTATTTGTTGTCTGTTCTCCAAAACTGCCTAACTTTGTCAGGGAATGGCTCTCTCTTGTCTGACACCATGTATTAAAACTATTTATTTAACTAAAACCACCTTATATTCGTAAGTGAAGAGGGATTGTGTGCCAAGGCACCGTGCGTGGTAGTAGCTGTATTTTGCAGCATATTTCAATGTTTGTGGTTTCCTCCTTCCCGAGTGTGGAATTTCAGCCACTGCCACCCCACAACTGATACAATTTCTGAATTAAGAGACGAGGTGCTTTGTGTGCTTTGAACACTGTTCACCCTTCTCACCCCCAGGCTGGGGGATTTAGAACACCTGGCTGGCTGGCTGTCATAAGGTCATGGAGCCTGGAGAGACATCTCCACTTGGAGCAGAGGGATGGATGCTGCCCAAGGTGGGATCCTACAGCTGCTGTGTGTAGAACGGCAGGGGCTGGGTGGTCGCTGCCTCCTGCGGTGGTGTGGGTCCTATCATGCCACCGCTGCTGCCAAAACCTGGCCAGCCTTTGCAGGCTCATGGAGACAGCTCTGTCATGGCTGGAGAGCCCCAAACCAGGGGAGCTGGCGGTGCCTGGCCACAGTGGGAGTCACAGGAGACACCAAAGACCCTGCCAACTGGCATGGTTGGAGAAAGGGGAAAAACTGGGAGTGAGGGGATGGGCATCGCTATGAGGAATGTATGCATAGCACTGGGTGCCCAAAACCTTCAGGAGCAGAAACACCATTCGTCACAGGTGAAGGGAAATCACAGTTGGTGCACAGCCTTGAAACCCCTTGCCCCAACCACCCCAGCACTGGTGGCCAGGAGCACCTGCCAGAGGGTTTGGGCTGGGCTGTGATCCCCAACCCAAATCACTGAGAAAGGATCTGGGAACTGCAAATCGCACAGAGAATTAGATTTTCAGGCATGTTTGGGTGAAACAACTAAAGAGCGGAGAAGAAAACAAACCAAAAAAATGCATAAACCAGCTCAATAATTTCACCAGCAAACACAGCAGATGACAACTGCTGCCTCTCCCGCTCACGGGCTGCTGCCTGGACCCAGCCCCTTGCTGCCTTTCCCAGGACTTTTGTTGCTCTCTGTTTCTCGGTTTGCCAAAAATAGCCCGTGGGATTCAGATGTGAGGCAGCATGTGGGAGGGGAGGAGATGTGATTGCTACCATCCAGCTGTGGCCTTCTCCTGAGCGGCTTTGTTCTCCTCCCTGGCCCCTACACGGTGCCATGGAGGGCGCAGGTTTCCTCTCCCCGTGGAAAGTTTGAAGGTTGTCAATACATCGACTTTTCCCTTGACGTAAGGCCCCTCTGTCACTCCTTGGGCTGTGGATTTTATGGTTTCTGAACTGATTTTTGCTCGTTTTCTGAGTAAAGAAGGGGGAAGGGAATGAGAGGATGATGACTACAGCAGGACTGGCACAAGGAGTCATGGACGAGCAGCAGCAAAAGCAAGCAGCATCATAGTCTGCTGGGTGCAGACACACTGAGATCACTGGGAAATGTGTAATTTATTTTTTTTGGTTTTGTATAGGAAATTAGATTTTTGTTTTGTTGTTTTCCTAAAAAAAAAATGTTGCGATGCTGGTTTCTAAGCAGGGTCTCACCAGCTTGTGCCACTGAGCTGAGGCAGCATGAGCTGGGGGATGGCCATGGGCTGCATGGCTGTCCAGGGTGGCTGCTTGGGAGACAAGCCTGTTCTTCCACCTCTGTGCACTACTGTGGGGTCTTTATTTTTTTTTAACCCCCTTTCCCAGTCAAACACTGGGTGCCAGTCTTGTCTCAGGAGGAGCCCCCCCTTGTAGCACCTCCAGGGCATCCCCAGCCATAGCAGTGGTTTCGGCTGCACAGATGAAGCTGTTTTTTTGTGGGTTTTTTCACCCTGTTTTTTTTCACTGCCTGGAGGATGCTGGTGCTGCCTGTGTTGGAGATGGGTCATGCAAAGGGGTCATTTGGGAGCTGGCATAACAGAAGTGGCCAAAGAGACTCTGTATTCAGTGGAGAGAAGGACACAGGGTCTCTGGTCTGATGGGGACCCAGGAGGACAGATGCTCCCTCCAAAGCAAACCTGGGGGATGCCTCCTCCTTGCTCTTCTGCCCAGTGCAGGCTTTGGGGTGCTTGGGTCTGGATACAGCTCTGCAACAATTCTCCTCTTTTTTCTGCTCCAATTGATGTGTTTGGGGAAGGGAGAGCAGAGTCTGTTCTTCCTGCCCTTGATCCTCCTGTTTCGGCTACGGGCTGAAGGCCTGCCACATCTCTACCAAAGAGTTAAAAATACCAGTGTGCAGGAGAGGTCTTGTCCAAGCGGTAGACCAAAGGAAATCCTGTTACCACACCTAATCTCCAGAAAAAAACATGCACTAACTTAAAAAAAAATCTCAGGCAGGAAGTCACGTATCTACAGCAACCCACCGGTGCAGGGGAGAGCAGCTCGGACTCCATAAAGCATCTTTGTTAGCAGAGTGCAAGTGGGGCTGGAGGGATGGAAATGCATCTCCTACTCCCTGCTGCAGGGCTGAGTGGTGGTGGGAGCAACAGCCCAAGTGCCAGCATCACTATTTGCACCAATATCCCCACTGGCATCCAGTAAATGAGAGGGTGAATGACACCACCACAGGCAGTTTGAGCAAATTGGGGATGTCCAGAGAAAGCACTGGCTTTGCTTTTGTGACAGAAACAAAGGAAGCAGCACTGAGAGCTAAGAAGCAATTTTTATCCTTCTTTATTTGTTGAAAATGTCAATTAAAAAACTGTTCAAAATAAAAACATGTTAGAAAAGTTGAACTTGCATAAGTCGTTACAGTAAATAAACCTACATGATAAAGATAAACTGGAAGGCAGCTGACACAACATTCGTCTAAAGACAGACTCACTGGAACCTATTTACAAAGCACTGTAAACAAAGTAAATATGGAAACATTGCTGTCCATCCTGCATGGCTTCTTTTCCTTTTTATTTTATTTTCTTGTCTTTTTTTGGCTTCTAGCTCTTGACAAACACTTGACCCAAAACGTCCCAGTATGCCCTCCATCACATTACATCTCACAAACATGCATATGTACACAACTCAGGTTTCAACTAAACTGGGGGGCAGCAGGGAACCATTTCTACCCTCTCCTTGGAGCATAAATGGCCCTTGGTTCATTTCCTTGCACTTGCTGCACACCACAAGCCTGGTTCCCAGCCCACCTCTGGGCAGGCAACTGGACCAGACGATGCCGAGGTGTCTGGGCATGGCCCCCCAGAAGAGTGGATGAGCTGCTCAGCCTGCGACAAGGACGTCATCCTAGAAAGCCATTCATCAGCACCGTAGGGCTTGACTGCTGACCAAACCAGTGGATGTGGAGAGCTGCCATCCAGCTGGAATGCTCTGGAAATGGCAAATGACGCCAGAGCAAAAAACAACCTCTGTTTTGTTCTAGAAACAGCTTGGATTTAAAGGCGGCTTCTTTTTATACTCCTTGTGAAGTTTTTGAGTCTAGCTCTCCCCAGACACCATTTGCCATGTTCTGGCTAAATGTTAATTGCAAGGAGGGAGTTGCAATTATTGCCTCTATGATATTCTTCACGACCAACATAACGGTACGACTGTAATCAGCTGTGGTGTGGCCGCACACCCGGGAACTATGCTGCCCTGTGAAATATGTAAGACTTATCATTAACGTTGACAGAAGGTTACTTTTATACTGCTGCTAAGGAAGGAAGGAAAACATCAGTCCTAAACTAGGGTATAACACCAAATAAGATGAAGATAGCCAATACATATGCATGTTGCCTGTGTGCTGTGTTCGAGGAGCTGTGCAGGGATCTGGGAAGGCATTGCATGTCCTTGCCCTGGGAGCTTTCCAGCTCTTGTCAAATAAAAAACATAAATATCTTTCCTATCCCAAGAATAAGTTCCTTTTTCCTAGACAAAAGCCCCTTTGGGGCAATGAGGGGAGAAGTCTGGCTACGCTTCCAGCCTCTGGGATGGAGCAATGGAGAGCCTAACGTGGGCAGAAGGGTGCAGGGAACCAGCACGTTTGGGGGTTGGTTTTTGTTGTCAAGCAGCATTTATATTTCATACAGAGAAAAGCATGTCCTGCAAGGGGATGCACAGCAAAACTATAAACTCATACGATACCTGGACACCCAATGAGAAAACAAAGCCGGGCGTAGGAGTTGTAGGTCATGCGTAAGAAAATGGACGGGGGGTGCAGAACAGCAGTTACCTGTCGTGCTGATCGCGAGCTGTCAGGAGGCAGCACTGTGCGACACACTGACAGCTGCTCCAGGTCTGGCTTCCCCAGGGACTTCAAATGTCTTCATGGTAATTGCACGTTTTAATCGGTATCAAGGCCACATGGGAACCACAGTATTGCTGGGCACTAGTTCGCTACAGTCAACTAACAGGGAAAAAGAAGGTGGACGGGAAAAGCTTCCCCAGTTGTGATTATCTGAAAAGAGAAGCATGGTGCTTTTTGGTTTCTGCTCAATGCCACCTCAGTAATGTTTTCATTCAATAAATAGGTACCGGCGCTTTTGAAAAGAATGAAAGCATTAAAAAGTGCTTAAGCTTCCTCTAGGAAACTGCTGCCAACCCCTCTGTGAGTGGCAATCATTAGCAGAGTTTGTATTTGCTCCCAGTAGCGGGTATGATGAGGTATTAGTTGCTGCAGATGAATTGTGAATCATGGACCGCTTGCTTACTGGTTTAGTTGTGATCGATTGTTTCTGGTTTATTTCCTTACTGGATGGAAAAAAAACTATTCTTTTTCCCCTATGACCTTTTTTTTGGTAGCAAAATTCTCAAAACCAACAAAATAAGGAGCAAGAAGAGGCAAAAGATTCAGTTCCACTTCCAAAAAAAACCACCTGAGGTCACACACCACTGCTAGCAGCGTCTCTCCGAATTCAGGCGATCAGGGATGACTTGCGTGCCGTGTCCTCCCGGCCACACTCATCCGTTTGTTTCAGCAGTCTCCGAACCAGCTTCTCCAAGTCCTTCCTGGATTTAAGCTCTTCCTCCAAACATTGTTTCATCCTTTTGTTCTCCTGTGAGGTGGAAAATAAAGGTATGAAGACGCAGTTAATGCCCACGGCACTTAACACAACAGTGGACTTGCAGTGCCTGGCAGCCTGATGGCTCAGAGGTGATGAAATGCCATGGACATTTGACATGCCAGCTTGCAAGGATGGACAACACGTTACTTGTGGTCCAATCTGCTCAAGCAAATCCTTGCTACCTTACAGACCTGCACCGTCGCTTTGAGCAGGCAGAAGCATCTGTTTGGAAACCTAATTTTAGCCTGAGCTGGAAGATCCTGTTCTCTTGGGGTGGTCTGTCCCACCTCCAGGCTTGGAGTTGGAGGGAGGAGGACATATTTCCTCTGAAGCTACCAGAACTGGTATCCACCAGACCTCTACAAAATGAACAATCAGGTTGAAAGAGCTTTTGGAGTAGTAGGAAAGCTTCATGTTAGGACAAAGATCGATCTCCTTCCCTCTTGTTGGTTCTGGTGCTCAAGGGACTACGTGGTAAGTTGATTCGGGGAGCTAAACCAGAAGAAAACTAACGCTGATTCAGGGAGCTGCAGGACCACATCAGCATTGGCAAAGCTTTTCCTAGACACCAACCAGTCAGAGACAACGGCCCAGTGCAGCCTGGCTGGTTTTTGCTCGACTCCTAGCACAAACAATCATGTTCAGATTACCTGCTTCAGCTCCTTAACTTCATCTTTCAGTGCATAAACCGTGTCAACCAGGCTCCTGCAAAAAGAAATGCAAAAAAATGAAATAAAGAAAGAGCTGGAGTGCACCAAAACAGCAACAGCATGGTTGCTTTCATGAGCAAGGCATTGATGGGGAAAGTGCTTCCAGGTTCTGCTTTGCTCTGCTGCCCACAGCAAGAATCAGGCTCTGCTATCACTGCTGCCCATGAGGGGACCCTGGAAACACAGCCCAGGAGCACTTATAGGCCACTGGTCCAAAATTCAGGGCTCTTATCTCAAAACTCAAGAAAAATACCTTGTTCTGCGACCTTTAAGTTATTAACAAAGGTCTGTGACTTTGGCTTCCTTGTTTATGCTACTGCGATAAATAACAATGATCTTAAAACTGGGAATGCTCAAGCCTCTTTTGTAAAATGGCCTCAATTCCTTGAGGTTACGCTGTGAAAAACCAAGCATGAAAGGAATGTACTGTCTGGGTTAGAAAAGGAGCAGGTCAACACCATCACCCAGATCAATGCTGTCATCCAGATCAACGCTGTCACCCAGAAGCGATGTAACAGGCTGAGAGCACTCCCAGACCAGGTGCCAGGCAGGGTCCCAAGGGGTAGCAGCAGCCCAGTATGTCAGTAGTTAAAAACAAAATCCACTTGTTTGGTTCTGTGCGCCCTGACTCTGTTAGCTACATCCAGATAAGCTCTAAAACTGGATAAACTGGCTCTCGAAACCGATGCACAGACTCCCAGAGGGCTCCAGCCACGTCAAAGCTGGGAAGGTGGTTCTGCTCTTCAAAAGGGACCAAACAGTGACTGAAACAGCCCAGTGGTTGTCCCCAGGACTACAGCAGCAGTCAGGGACACCAGCCCTTATCCTTTGCAGAGACACAGAAGGAAAGGGCATTGGTTTTTAGTGTCTTTCCAAGGGAATCTGCAAGTGGAGAGCAGCCGTGCTTACTTCTCCTCTGTGACAGTCTGGCCGTTGCTTCGTGTTTCCTCTACGATGATTTTTTCTTCCTCAGGAAGAAGGACTTGGGGGACGGAGTCTTTACGGGAGCCTGTGTACAAGAACTAGTCATCAGGAAGAAAAAGGGAGACTTTTCCCTTACGCCCAGGTTGCTCCAGAGGCAGCCACAGGTTACCTGCCACAGTTAAATACAGGCTCATACAAGTTGCTACCTTGGAGCTAAAGCACCAAGTGGAAAGTTTTCAAGAGTGCTCATTGCATCTAAAGCTACGTCATGACTTATAAATTAATTCATTTGATTAGGGTCAAGAGCTCTCAGAAGAAACATGCCCTCCCTCTTTTAAATTGTACCATTATTTGATAGTTCAGTGATTTAATTCAACATCTCACCAGCAATGATAAATAGTTATATTTAAAGAGTTGAAGATGTTAGATAGGTTCTTATGAAGAAGCTTGTTCTTAAACATGAAGCTGATTGAGAGATAATATTCATGCTTCCTTTCTAAAGCTGCATGCAACCTGAGATTATCATCAGGTTTTCAGTGCTGACAGCCACAGGCACTGACTAGGTTTGCTTAATTCCTAACAAGCACTGGTGAAATAGCTGTGTCTCATCTGCCCTCCTATCTGCTTCATTCTCTCTTTAGAAGAAAAACAATGGCAACTAAACCACTAGGCAGATGAAGCTCCCTTATCTTGAAGATTGAACACTGCACAGTTTCCTAGCATGAGTCTTGTTGCTGTATGATGCAACCATGTGGGTTTTTTTTTTTTTTCCCAGAGGGGTTATGAATATTGCAGGCAGAGGAAGAACTAAATAATCTGGTTGTGTGCCCACCTGAGCCGAGCGCTTGCTGGAAGCCTGCCCCAGTACAGTATGCCTCGATCACCTTCAGGATCTGAGCATCTTCTTCCAGTGCAGCAGTACCTGTACAACATCGCAGACAACGGCTGTCACAAAAAGCAAAGTGCTCTGCCTTCATCTCTCCCAGCCTTCACTCCCAAGCCCCTGAAGAGAAGAGTGTGCCATTTTCCTGACTGACACTGCCTCTGGGACTTTGCCTAATCCCCTTTTGAGGTCCTTTGTATTTTCTGGCTTTTGTAACACCCTGTGACATTAAGCACCATGACTACACAGTATGAAATAGCACTTCTCGCTGCCCACCTCAGCAAAACTCAGGGGGCAATGGGTGACTTTGGGTGCAGCTAGGCGCAGGAGATGGGTTGGGAAAGCAGCACACGTTAAAAGCCATACAACTGCAGCAGATGACTGAGCTGCAGACCAGATGGTGTGCTGGGTGAGCACAGTCTTTCATGTAAAACTCCAGAGGGAGTGTCCCAGGTGGGCTTCAAGGAGCTGTCAGGACACCCCTCTTTGCAGGTGAACACCCCTGCAGGGATTGGGCCTTCCTTTGTTCCCTGGTCCCCCACGGAAACTGCTCCAGGACCTGCTGGCATGGCCAGGCAAGGGTTTGTCCCAGCTCTCAGACATATTTTGATGACTGCTGACAAACAGTTTCACTAGGAACCTACTTGGGTTCCAGCTCCTTGGCTTTGTACCCAGAACAAGCCCATCCACAACTTGTGACCTAGTGGTAGCAGTCACGAGGTGGGTGGTGGCATGCCTGGGAGGAAATCTGTCAGAGGGTGAGGACTGGTGTGCTTCCAGAAGCCTCCCATGTTCAGCAGCACACGGGCTTGCTCACAACACGAGCATCCTGCACAGTAAGAAAGGCTCAATGTGCCATGGAGATGACTGAGCACAGAGAAACCTCCAGAAAGTAGAGAGAATTACAACACTTACTTTTCCGAATTACAAACTCTTCATCAGATGGCTTTCTCTCAGTTTTTCGTTTTGGAAGAAACTTCTTCATTGTTTTTGGACTTTTGCTGGAATCCTACAGAGAAACAGACTCTGGTGTTTAATCAGAAGCAAAGGCAGCTCCAACAGTGGAGCAGTGCAGCCAAACGCAGCTATCCGTGTTACGCACAACACATCAGAGAACCACAAAGCAGACAATGACAAAGTTGGGGGAAATTATGGTTTTTGTCTTCCCCATCCACTAGCAGTGGG